GATAGTGTAGCTTCCCAACAGTGAATTTTTAGATGTTCAGTGGTTTCGGACGCTATTCAATGCAAACAAACAAACAATGAATCCGTTCCTCTTTATAATGTCAAGTATAGACTACACATCTTAGATAGATTCGTCTGTTATAAATTGGTCTTTGAATGTTGTGAACAGAGAAGGCGAAAGCGGCTCAAGTTCCACCAGCCCAAAGTGCACACGGGACGGAAGTACCGCATGTGGATGCTCCAAAAAGAGCTCATGCAACAACAACAGCAACGGCGTCTGCTCGACGCATCTTCTCAACAATAACGAGATACAGGTAACATACACTTTACAACTAAACGCAGTTTAAGTGTAGTTTAAATAAGTAACAATGTGAAGGATGATTGAACACTTGAGTTGATTCAAATGCTACAACATCTGCTAGCTCAGTTATTTATTTTGACTTTCGTAATAAAATTGAATTGAAGGAAAAGTCACCTAGTCTCCAGCTAGGTTTAAACGATCATATAATTTATACATATTGAAAAAATTCGAGCGTCTGTATGTAATATCGAGAAGAAAGAAAAACAGTTTTCAAAATTTTTGTCTGTCTAGAAAGCCGCGATTGTTTTGGACTTTGAAAGGGCGGCGTCACTCAGGCATATTATAGGCATTTTTTTTAAATCCTGCCCTGATGAAGTCGCAGGTAATCGCTAGTGTGTTTAGTTTCATTTGATTGATGTGTATTATGTTTACATTTTCAGCTGTGTAGTGCACTTAGCTTGGCGCCGGCGCAATACGTGACGCTTAAGGGGGTATTACTAAAGAGGGGGGCTAGTGCTGAGTGCGACGCGGATGTTGCGGTGCGCCGCTACCTGCAGGCTGTGGGCTGGCTGCGCGAATAGCACAGCGCCACCACCCCCGACCCGCCACCCGCCCCACCACCTGTACCACAACCCCTCGACCCGGAGAACTCTGACCAGAAGATGTGGTTGTTAGTGATCAAACCGCAGTAATTGGACTATGACTATATGTGATGCTCAAAACAGAACTCAATCGGATTTTGAAGATATGTGAGTGTTACTTTCATATGTTATTTGATATCATTTTAGAGTTCATTCCGATACAGACTGTATTTAAAGTAATAAAATTTCCTATTAATATATTGGTGATTAAGAATGTCGTAGTAAGTCAGCTTTAGCTCAATAGATCGCAGACGATCGCTACCAACGATAAATTAAAAAAATAATAATTAAACATATTAATATAATTGATATCAATATTTTATAATAATAGAAAAAAATGTAAATTTTAATTTATTAGCATTATTTGTCCTCCAATAAAACATAATACTAACAGCTATAGGGTGATATAAAATTCTTTATCTGAATGTCTACAATATTCATTCCATTGATATTGTCTTTAAAGTTATTTATATTATCGCATAAAATAGTCAATAATTAAAAAAAAATTGTGAAAATCCAAAATCATTTTATACTAAAACTCAGTTATGGTTTATTTGATGTTATGTAACATATTATAATTTATATCCCAATTTTGTTTGACCGACTCTTCATTGAGACCTCGCAGTAAATACAATGGTATAATGCAAAGATAACCCTACAGTTAGGGTAGGCTCCAAGCCCCTCGGTGGGGACGGTATAGTGAGCTGATGATGATAATGATGCAAAGATAATAGTTATGGTTCAGGTATCCCATATTTTAGTAATACAGAATCTGGATAAGTGAAAATCAGAGACTGCAGCATTTCTCGCTTATAAAATCTCTCTAACTTAAATTTCTTGCTTACTAAAGTCTGTTGGGATCGTTCAATGACTCAAGAGACGTTTTGTTTATCCAGGATTGACTCCATATTAATAGCAAATGTATTTAAATTAACCGCTAAGTGAGATTAAAGCTTAAATTATTTCACTGTAGAGTTCTCATATACCATTATAATTAATAATTTAAATTAATGTTTAATAAAATAATAAATGTACATTTTTTTTTATAAAAAGTATTTTAGAGGAAAATATTAAAAAAACAAGACATTACCTCATATTTATTAGAGGTAACAGCTCTTATAGAGTAATGTAAATATAGCATGTAAATATATATTGCATAGTTTAATTACACAAACCATGGTTTGAAACTGGTGTAGGTGGATATGACGGTTATTTGACTGTTATGCAAATAAACTTTTTTAAATGCAACGTTAAATCATGTATAAAATATATAATAAAATAAAACTGACGGCGCAATATTTATATCCATCTGCATAACATCTCGTTGACGGACGAGAATTTAAAATAAACAGTAATTAAAAAAAATTTAGTTAATTTCATTATCTTTACGACATATTTTAGTTTTTTTTTCTATAACAAAATTTAATAGGAACGTTTGCTTTTGTAGTGGACAGTATTGAATGATTTTATCTTAATAATTACTTAGTTATTCTCTTATTTGCGCAATATTTATAACTTTAATGAATGATGTATGTACCATTTCCACTGGCGGTGATTGGTATAAACTTACAGTCCTGCATCTAATTGTTTAGTGGAAAGTAGGTCTAAGGTCAAGGTCACGTGGGGAGCTCGTAGAACTATTATCGTATCTCTACATTAGATAGAATAATTTAAATACACCTAAAATGCCAATTAGTTATAAAGGCTGTGGTTATAGTAAAGGATGTGTGCACATTTAATTTACTTTATTTTAATTAATCTATGTTCTAAATGCTGTATACTTTGGGTCCTTTATTAATTAAATCGTATCTAAGATATTTATTTCGTATTTTTTTTTTAGAGAAATGCAAGTCGTAATTATTGAAAAAACATAGAATTATGGTAAAGACTTCCGACTATATCTTTTGGGAATAATATAATTAAGAGCAATATTAAAGTAATGTAAAATATGTAATTTTTAAAAGCATAAAGTGATATATTTCGTTAACATATTCATCCAATAAAGTGGACCATACTTTATAAAGCGGTGAAAGTCAAAATCGAAGACTAATAATAAGTAATACGTTTTCCATAAAGACACCAAATAATATGAATTTGTACCACATTTTCAATATTTCTTTATATCTATTAATTTTAAATGTACATATAGGTGTTTTCAAATGTCTTGACAGCTCAAGGTCATTGCTCTCCCCGTAGCGATTCGTATTCCGAGCCGACAAGATATATGACTACATCTATACTACTCTTTTTATTCATTAACCTTAACATAACTGTGAGTTTCCACTGCTGAAACAGTTGAAGTCTATTTCTTTTAAAAGAAAAAACCTATAACAGTATGTTTTCGTATAGCTTTTATTTATTTTGAAAAAAACTATTATCAATTTTCCGCAGTGGAAACTTACTGGTACTGTCTACATAGATATTTTTCTTTAAAGTATTTTTTCCAAATAAACCTTTTTATTTGGAAATGTAATATGCTCTCATATCATTCATTTGTAAATTATTTGTATATTCCATGTATATTGTAGAAAATAATATTTGTCTGCATTTGTATAATGTTGAAGTGGTTAATTAGTTTTTATGATCTCCTAATGTTATGATTAAAACGACTTTTATAGCCTAGCCTAGCCATCTAGCCTGGCCTAGCTTATCTAGCCTAGCTTAGGTACTTAGAGTATCAACCCGGTCGTTAATTCGATTCCAAACTATCAAAATACGTTAAAATATATTCGTTTTGTCCAAATGTATGTATACCTATCAAATAGCTAAACGGTTAGGTTAACTACAATCTTGATTTTAGTAGGTTCGAATAATTGTCAAGTTAAATCTATAAAACCACTAGTTTAATTTTTTTTTGTCTATTGTAAGTGTTATATATTGTGTCATGTTTTGGACCTTATAAATAGAGATTGAAACATCTACATTCACTCTGAATAGATTTAAACCCATGATAAACTTATCGTGGGTTTCTGAGACGAAAATTCCGTATGCAACATATCATCTATCCTGTCCTTCATCTTTGACAAACAAGAAAACAATGTATCTTAAATGGAGATTTTGGTCTTAGAAACCCACGGTTAATGAACCTTTACTTGAGATAATGTTATTAAAAAATTGTACAATATAGAGTAACTGTCGGCTTTTGAAATTACTGCCAAATAAATAATTGCCTTTGCTATTTTGTGGTTATGTGGGTAATGATCAAGAGTTGTGGGTTTTGATATTAAAATTAAACCTCAATTTTCCTCAAACCTATTTTTAAACCATAACCAAACAACCAATATAATTATATTAAGTAGAGTGAATAGGCACTTAATAAGCTAGCACGTACCATCTTTCGACTAAATCTCCACTTCACCGGGTGGGATCGTGGTCAAGCGCTAGCTTATAAAACGTAAAAAAAAAACCAATAGAAAAAGTCAAATTTCTATTATTGTTTTTTGGTTGTAAAATATATTTTTTTTTAAATAGGAATTTATTGAAATGAGATGAATATCGTCTCTGTTAACACCGTACAGTTAACAAAATGCATGCTAAAACTATAATTACTAGCTCGAATGTCAACGAAGTACAATTTTCATTTTTAATAATATATGTAATTTTTATTAATTATTCAAATAGCGGTTATGTGATTTCATGGGAATAAAAGTATTGAGGATATATTAAATGTTTTATTGTTTATTTTGGTTTGTTG